TGGACGATAATTTGAAGATTATGTACAACGTGTACAACGTCATTACTTACGAAACTACTATACAATAATTTAATGGATCTATATTTTTGAAATTATAACTTCTCCTCGTATAAATTTGTCCATTTTTGTATTAGTGAAAAAGAATGAAATCGCGCAATTTTATTCCGTTATTTTGCACCTGTTTATCGTATACCGACTACTTTCATGTTCCCGTATATATTGCTGATGTATATATGTTGTTTAGTTTAGTTTCTTTTCTCATAAAATTAAAGAAATAATGTTATTTATTATTATAATGCTCGCTTTGATAATAATTTAATACATTATATAATTAAAAAATTTCTTATAAAAAAGAAATCGTAATATATTTCAAATTTCTGAATACGTTAGAATAATTTTTGTCAATAACATATTTACAAATGTATTACTAATTTTTGATTTGATATGACTTTCTGTATGGTCTAAAATTGTAAATTTTTTAATGAAATATTTAGAATATAATGAAAATTCTATTGCGATAGTGACAAAAAATCTAAAATATCAAATATAGAAAATCTATAACATATATTTTAATTTTAAAATAAGTAAATTTATTGGAAAAAGAATTTACTTTTTAATTATAATATAAATGAAATAAAGTCATAATAAATATGCGAGCACACAAAATTTCTAAATGAAAATAAATAATGTCAAATATATGCTTAGTACATTGAATTTAATTACTATACGATAAAAAATTACGTATAGAGGATACTTTTCTCAAGTATGTACTTTGAATTTTTATCTATAATACCATACTTTGTATCATTGTAATTGATTTTTTGATGAAAACTATATATGTATTTTTTTTTTAAAATATGACGTTATTTCTGCAAAAAATGTTTACATTGGAAAAAATCAAAATTGAAAAGGAAACTATGCTCATAAAAATTTACACAGTAAGAAGTGACTAAATGAACATGATAATAGTATGCAATAGGTGTCAGGTACATTTTGGAATTGATGTTATACTCAGTACTAAAGCTTTAAAATCAGTATAGATATACTAAAAAAGATTGTTTATTGTTTTCACGTGTGGTGTTAATATCACATACAAGTACACTTTAAAGCTTCTAAAAAAGAGATTCTGTAACTGAGCTGTTTGATTTCTGAGCTTTGTCAAATATTCCAAACATTTCCTAACATCCATATTGCTAATATTTATCTATGGTAACGTAAAAAAAATGCTATATGTACATAATGGGCAATCCATAATACAACAAATTGAATCAAAAGATTGCTCAATACATTTAAAACACACTTTACACTGCTTTTTCCAGCTTTCCTCATGCCATAGAAATTGTAACGTTAATTCCTAGATTTCCATTATCGGCAAACAATTGCGCGATAGAGGTGTCAAATACAAGGCAGTCTGAATTTAAAATTGCAGATGAAACACCTTCATGAATAGAACGTGGCATAGCTTCCCATGTTAAACGTCTTTTATGCCCATTCAATTCTAGTCTATAGAATATAAATATTTATATTATATTATTAATTATTTTAAATAAAATTTTAAATATAATATATTAGTTATAATAAAATACCTATAGGCAAAATTTTCTGCTTGTTTTCTCGAACCAATCAATTGAACAATTGCGAAAAATTGTTGATGTCCATCATATTTTTCTTGTTTTTCAAGTACTAGCATAAAATGATGACCAAAACAAGACTGCATCATTACCCAATCCACTGCACCAGGAAGATTAATATCTGTTGCTAAGAAAACAATGTCTTCTCCTATAATTTAAGCAAATTTAAATAACTGAATGTTCTTTATTATTAATTTATTATTTATTATAATTAAAAAAAATACAAATGTATATCTTATTTAAAAAACTTACCCTGAAGAGTTGTAATGCTTTTATGACTCATAACAAGATGTGGCATTACTTGTTCAAGGGATCCTTGCCATTTACAGGAAGCACCTGGACAAGGACAACTATATGGACGGAATTCACATGCATCTTCATGATCTGCTTTTTCAGTATGCACTAACGATACTGTGCATCCACTTGTTGAATATTTGCAAGGAAACATCACATTGCCTGCCACTTTTTCCATAGCCAGATTTCGAATATTACCTGCATTATAAATTTAGCATTACAAATCAGATATTTATGAATATATTATAATCATATTACTTGAATAAATTTTTAATATTAACAATTTCTTTTATTTATACAAATTTTATTATTAATTACATACCTAGTGGACCTCTACAGGTAGGACAGCAATTAAGCTTTGGTCTGCAATTACTACAAACAAGGTGTCCACTCTGACATTGTAAGATGGGTGGAAGAACATAATCAAAGCAAACTGGACATTCAAATAGACTTGCTAGATCGGTTGAACTGCTTAGAGATGATACGGTAGGTGCAGAGGAGCTTGCAACACTCCTCCCTCTCTTTCCTGTACTAATACTTAATTGAGACATCTTTTTCTTTTATTCTATGTATCAAATAAGAACACTTTGTCTTTTAGTTGATAAGAAAAATCTATTTATTTTCAAGATGTCTATTAAATGCGATACATTTTGGAATGAACCATCCACCTCATATCTGTAAATTATTAAAATTTCAACAATATTATATAGTATTATATATAATTTTTTTTAATTTTAATATTTAAAAATTTTTGAATTTAAAAAATTAAATATTACAACTATACCTTTATATAAAATGAATGTCATTTCAATATGTTGAAAAATATATTTGACACACATATAATTATCTTGCATTATATATATATATGAAGAAAGATTATATGGTGTCATTGTTATCATACTTTATCCATATAGAATAAATAAATTCTTGTATATATATATGTATATATTATTCTACAAGCATATTTAATGGTATATTTAATTATTTCAGTTAGTAAATTATTCATAGTTATATAAGAGTAAAACTTTACAGAATATATTTTTTAGGTTTTATATTTTTGTTACTTATAAAATATTCTATATTTTTTCTTTCAAGTATAAAAAACAATGTATAATATACTATATTCAAATGACATTGAAACGATGCAATAAAAATTTTTATCAATTTTCATTATTTTTTATCATTTTATCATTATTTCATTTTTAATCAATCAATTTCTACTTAACCAATACTTTAATGAAATGTATATATACAAAAATTAGTTCGAATTATATATATTTTATAATATTGTAATAAAAATATATATTTTATTAAAATACTCATATATACTTTCTTTTAATATATTTTCGTATTTTATCTAAATAATTTTATATAAAAACAAGATAATTGGTGTATATAATTCGATAAAAGTTTTATCATTTATACATACGTACTTTTATAATCTTTTAATAAATCAATATAAAAATAAAAAAATCTAAACTTTTTATCTAATATTTAGAATTATCATTAGAAAAAATGCTATAATTTTGAATCAACAAAATAATATAAATAAGTAAGGAAGATAACGTTGCATCGATCGTACGACCATTTATCGCATGTGCGTCAATTATCATTGTCTTTTTGGCAAACCGTCACAAGAAAGTTTGACAAATATTTCTCATAGAACTAAATCAATTTTTAAACGATATCGTATTCGCGGGTTATTTAATCCGAAAAGTAACAAACAGTAAAAATCTTGCAGAATAATATCGTGAAGCAAGTCACAAATCACAAGTCATGACGAAACAGCAATCAACAAATAAACAATGTGCGAGAAAGCGGATGATTCTCTTATGGAAAATTCTACGCAACAAATAGAATAGAATATGTACATTTGAAAATAACTTTAAAAAAATATGTATTTAAACTTACCGAATTAACAAACATATTAGTACGTCATTCGATGCGTACACTAGTTTTCACGAGATTGAAATCGGAAAATAGTAAGTTAAAAGGACGAGAGAGGGAAAGAGAAGGCACTTGAGAATGACAACGGAAATACGAACGAGAATGAAAACGTCGAGAATAACGACAAAGGGTGACACAATAATAGACGAATGTTTTCACGAGAACAACAACAGGAGATTTCATGCGACTTGACTTCAAAAATGTTGCACGAAATGCTCCCGATACTTCTCGGTACATCGATGAGGAATAAACGCGAACGCGATGAAATCGAGTATGTAATAGGCTACATCGCGAATTCTCCTGGCCAAAGAGGCAATATTAATTGTAATATGACTTTTGATAGTTTTCGCTGAGACATAGTAGCAATTTGCTCCTTTTCGAACCTCCGACACTTTAAGCTCTTTCCGTACAATAAGATGCACAGCAAGATGATGACACTGCAGCTGTCTGTCCGACTGCACGTCCGTCCGTTTACACCCATGCAATGCATGCAACTGCCATTAGCGATTATTCTTAAGCCGCATTCTTAACATGTTTTCATATTGTGAAATATATTTCGGTGAAAAATATATAGAAGAAAATATTTTATTACTTTTATATAAAAATTTTCAATATATAGAATACTACATATAAATATTTTCATGAATTTGTGTTACATAATTACATTAATTACGTAAAAGTATACAAAAATTATTTATAAATCTATCTATAATATCTATTTTTACATTATTCATATTTTCACACATTTATTTTTTCTATTAACCTTTAATAATGAAATATTAAAAAATCAAATGATAAAAACAATTCTTATTCTTATGATTTCTAGGTTCGGTATCGCTATAAATTTTATTTATTTATTTCTTACATACGCAATTGCTCAAAATTAATATTTACTCTTATATTAATTTTACAATTTTTCTAATAATAAAAAAGAAGTATTTATAATTTCGAATGTTGATAACACTTAAAAGTGAATTTCATAATTTTATTAAAATTCATTGTGTATCAACATAAAAAAGGATTTATATCAAACTATCATTTTTAAGATAATTGTATATTTTTACAAGAGAATACATTTCTATTCATTTATTTAAGCTTTCATTGTGAAAGAAGAATATCACAAAATACTTTTCAAGTAATGAATATTTTATTTTTTGTTATAATTAAAATATACACTGTGTCATGGGTGAAACAGGCGAATAGTAATCAATAGTAACAAAATATTTGTGTTATTTCCTTTAATTTCACAATCTGATCTCTTTTTTTAATATATATATATTTTTTCATCCACACGCAGCAAATATGGTATACACAGTATACAGATTTATTTTCAAAAGTATAATTAGTTTGGCTTAAAATATTTTTTTCAAAAAACGATTTATTTACCATGTACATGCATATTATGAAATTTATTTAAGCCAAACTGTCAATACTTTTGTGACATCTGAGAAAAACTTGAATGTTTAAAGCCTTATCAGCCTTGTGTGTATAATATAATTTCGATGTACCTAAATGTAGTTCCCACAATGCCATATCTACATTTTCTATAATTATTTTGTCACCCCTTTAAACTTTTTTTAGTCCAGAAAATCACAAGATGTATTGGCTGTCAAATTCTCTAGTATTCTGTATCATTTTAAATGATACTCTACATATGAACAGTCTTCTTGCGATATGAAGAACAGTCTTTGTACACCAGACAGGAACAACTGTTTGATGCAAATGCAAAAAATGTCATAGTAGCCTAAATTATACAAAAGTTATATTTTTATTAGTTTCGATGCCTTAAACATTCTGTTGATTCAGTGTTTGCAAAATTTTTGTAATAACCCACAATCATTTTTGCCATTTTTATATTTTATATTTGAGGTCTATGTGACATAGGAGTACACGAGTGTAGCAACTTTTGAAAATCATTGATTATATTAATCATATTTTTTAAGCTATATCTCATAGAAATTAAAATATCATTCAAATACCAAAAAGGAAAAAAAAAAAAAAAAGAAAAAAGAAAAAAGAAATAGAATAAAAAATAAAAACAGAAAAAATAGTATATGATTTATCATAAAGTTTAGTGCAAATTACAGTATATTTATTGCTTTTCTTATGTGATTTCAAATATCATTTTAGAATATTTTGTAACCATCTTCTACCACTCGCGCACTCTTCGCGTATCTACCCAGGACGTTCATATTTTAATTATATTCATTTTTAATTATTTTTATCTTTCTCTTAATTCCTACTTTATTATATACTAATTCGCACACGTGTACAACATTATGTATGTGTACACGTATATACATATAACATACGAAGATGCGTATGTTTCTTACGATACCTTACGATTCGTATAAGTTACAGGACTTATTTTAGTGTACAAACAATCATAGATGATACTAGATAATACGTATAGGTTACAAATTTATGAGGAAGAAGTACGTTTAATTAGGAGTACGAACCATTGGTCCATGAATGGTACTTTGTTTTACGTCTATCAATTATCCCTAACTGACACATGCTTCCTGAACTGAAACTGTTTATCAACTTAAAATTCTATTGTAAACAACATTGTGTTTCTAATAATAAGATTAACACCAAGCATATAATAAACAATACTTTAGTAATGCAACTTAAGATGCTAAAGAATAATTAGAGTATTAAATTATAAGATATACATGTTAGTATTATGAATCATGAATAACAAGAAAATAGGAGTAAATCAATTGTTTAAATTTTCAACTTGTATATGGTTCCTATGTGTGAAAAACAACTTTCTATATAAAGTATTCGGTTTTAATAAAAATACTTGAAGTTTTATTTTAATAAATTCACCAATAATTTTTGTGTAATAAATGATAAAATGTGCATAGATAGAAAAAGACATGATCCTTTTGATTCTTTAAATTACACCAATTGTAAATCAATGAAAATTCCCCCTTTTTTTAGTAAATGTACATAGAGTTATCTAGTATTTTACAGACCCAACATACAAAGATTAGGGAGTTTGGGGCTTTCATAAGAGTCTTTTAATGGCTCTATAAGCTCTTTTATCCCAAATTTCCCTATCTCAGTCTTAGCCTGCATTCAAAGATGTTCTACTCCTTACTATATTCTTGCTTTATCACCAAATTTTGAGTATATAGGATTCATAAATCCATTTTTAATACGGCTGATGTCTTTGAAATTGACGTGGTCCCTGACCATTTCCTCGTGGCTTACCTTGAACCCCATATCCCATGTTGTCATATCCATCATAACCAGCATAATCATAATTTGCGTACATATCATCATATCCCCCTTGATAGCCATTACAATATTCAGGAATGTAACCATAGCCTCCGCCATAACCGTAACCATAGCCTGGACCCCAAAATCCTTGATTCCTTGGGTCTGGATTAACTTTTACTTTTTTGACATCCACTTCTTTTCCATTTATCGTTTGTTTAGGTGTTTTTAATAATTTGTAGACAACTTCTTTTGAGTCAAATGTTATGAAACAAAATCCTTTTCTCTGATTTTTTACCTTATCATATGGTGCTTGCAATTCAACAATTGTACCATATTGTCCAAAATATGTTTTGATATCTTCATCGGTAATTTCAGGAGTAAGGCCTCCCACAAAAATTTTACCATGTTGTGGCTTTTTACTCACCCGCTTGGGATCCACCTATATCAAAACAAAGCATGTTTTAAGTATTTTTATCTTGAGGAAATAAAATGTAAAAAAAAAAAAAGAGAAATAATTTTTAATCTTATATATTAAGTTTTAATTTCGAAAATATAACCAACCTTTCTTTTATTGATGTAATGCTCCCCTGAAGCCAGAAGTTTGTCGATCGTTTTGGGATTAGTAAATACCATAAACGCAAAACCTCGTGAAATACCGGTATAAGGATCAATTTTAACAGAGATACTTTCAATCTCACCAAATTTACTAAAATGATCTCGTAATTCTTTGTCCGTAGTATTACGCGATAGGCCACCAACAAAAAGTTTGCGTTCGTCATCTTTGCCTGGAATTCCGGCGGTAGCTTGTTGTTGTTGTGGTTGTTGCTGTTGTGATTGTGATTGTTGTTGTTGTTGGGATTGCTGTTGAGACTGCTGTTGTTGAGTTTGTGTCTGGCCGGTACTCTCGTTCTGAGCTTGATTCTGGTAACAGTCAACTGCCGCCATCGTGTATCGTTTAGAGCTTACCGCGTTAAAATCACGTCAGAAAATATAAAGTGGGCTGGTCGAACTGATGAGATCAGTAAATGCAACGGTGTACTGCGCACCAGAATAATTTCGGAGCAGTTGGCACGCGTCACAGTCGGTTCTTATGGTGAACCGGTGCCGGCTTACGACCGAAAGAAAGAGAGTCAGCAACAGTTTCCGATTCCCTCTAAGCCTGTATTAACATGACGCTATTCGTTCTTTCTAGTGAGACGCAATTCATCTCTCCAATCACAATGGTAGATCCAAGAGACATTGCCGGAAATTCCAGTTTATTTCCGGTGATCATTTCATTACTAACTTTAATCAGTTTTCCAAGAAAGTGAAAAATTGACATGTCGATATAATTATTTGTTCTTTAAATTTATGACTTATTTTTATAATGCTTTTAAGTTCACGTAATGGGTGATTATCGAAAGTCCTTGAACATTGCTGAATCCGAACAATGCACGAACACCTTTGTTCCTAACTATGAGATCAGGGCTTTCATTCGTTGAAAAATGCATATTTTTAATTCATATTGTGACAATCGTATCATAATATTTTTCATAAATTAATAACTTTTTCCTTTGCTTTTTCATATAAATATTGATTCAGGTTAGGTTAACGTTTAGGTTGTCAAATTGATTTTTGTTAATGATGTTTAAATTTGCAGGATATCATTGTTATTCTATATCTATAAATTATTGGAACATATATATAATTAATTTACACAATCACGTTATTTTAATATATTCTTGAAGTTGTAAAACTGAAATCACTGTAATTATAATGCACACATTTCGATCAAATTCGATATATAATTTATCTACTCTTTACTTTAAGTATAAGTATAAAAGCAACGAAACGATTTATACAATTCAATCAGTAAGTATTGGAATATTTATAAAATAAAGCATGAAAATTAAAATACAAGTAACGTATTAATTGTTTGAATTGATATCGATTATATAATCGAAAATATTTAATCGAAAATAATAAAAGATAATCTTTATTTATTTTTAATTTTTATTTTAAAATTTAGGAACACGTGGTGTTCTTACTTGTTTGTGCACCGTTTAAAGTCGCTGCTTTCTTAATACATATGTAAATATAGTCAGACAGAGAAGGTTGTATAAATAAAACACAGGCCCTCGGCAATCCCGGCTTATCTTTTCTTCAGTCGAACAGTTTAAGAATAGAATAAGGTTCTACGGGATAGACTGACTTGTTGTTAATTATAGAACACTCTTATATGTACCTTTGCAAAAAAGATATAAAAATTATGATATAAAAAATATTTTGCGAAACGATATATATAAACATCGAAATTGCAAAATAAAAATTTTTATCAATATTTTCATTAATATATATATTGTAAAAAGTTTTTTCTTCTTGCACTGTTTTATCGCGAGTCAGTTACGAAAATAAATGCTAATGAACTCACTTGATGGCGCCACTATATAAAATCGTAGTTCTTTTATAGTTCTTTTGATTTTTATACATTTTAAATCATACATGGAAGTTATTTAATTAAAAATAAAAAATAAAGAATTAACAATGTGATGTTAATATGTCAGAAGATAAGTTTCTAAATCTTTTTGACAAATATCTTTTATAAAATTATTTGAGTAAGATTTTATTCTTGTTAATTATATAACAATGTCAATCACATCTATCCTTGACAGTATTATTTTTATTACAATGATTATATTTTTCTTTCTACGTTCTTCGTCTTTTCTAGGATACGTTAACGCATTGTCATATGTTGTTGAAATAAGTCACAATCTTGTCCGTAATCAATTATATAAATAGATACGAGCATCGCGCAATACAAAATATACAATTTATATTTGATGCATATATCTATATGCAAAGATAAATAAATACATATGTATGTATGTAAGCTAGGTTCAAGGAATATTTTTATTCGTGAATGATATAATAATTTATCTAATACTTACATATGTTCGTAAATGTTCATATTTATATATATATATATATATATCTTATGTTTTCTCATATTTTCTTTAATGTTATGATTTTTAGTAAGAAAAATGATATCGAAAGAGAATTTTTAAAGTTTTCCCTTCAAGAGAATATATTTTGTAATTTATAAGAGGTTAGATCAATTATTTTTGACAGAATAATTTCTAAATATGTGTATGTATATATATATATATATATATATATATATATATCTCGTATTGTT